TTGGCTCCTCTGAATCAATGCAAGTGATTGTATTTGTGTAGGCAGAGGGGAAGTATCTTAAGCTGGTCCAAACGCTTTTTGTCCCATAAAGTTTTCACCTGAAAATGCTGAATAAAAACCAAACTTTTTGGCCACAATCTTTGATGGAAAAAACCTCAATTTTCTGTGAATCCCAGATACCTTTTGCAAAATATTTCATTTTGCTGAAGTCAGTATTCTGCCAGAATCAGTTTTTATGGGAAAAAAGTTGCATGTGTGTCACAATAACTCATAAGGAATTCTATTATTTTTTAATTCACACAGTGTTTCCAAATCTTTGCTAGAATTATGTATTGTTGTTTTAAAATACTGCATTATAAACATACAGAAACACATTTTGTATCTCAGGGATTTGTTTAAGGAAGGTGCAGTGATTCAGCTGCTAACCTGGGATGCTGGATATTCAGGATCAATTCTCTGGTCTGCCACAGTTTTATATGTGACCTTGGTCAAGTCATATAATGGCGGTGTCTTAATTCCCCTTCTGTAAAATGGGGACAAATAGCATTCGAGTGCTGTGAGTTTAAGACTGTGAGGTGCTTATAAGCTATGGTAAAGCATCCATATAAGTACTGCAAATAGATACCAGTGTTTAATCCATGGATTGAACAGTTCAGAGTTCAGAATTATTTAGAACCACAATTTTGATTCAGATTCATTAGAAAGCTGTGGCCATTTTCAAAACCCACTCTGTTTTTGAATATCCCTCTTCCTCACCAAAAATAAGTATGAAAAAGTATTCACAGTTATGGTTTGGGTTAATTTAATATAAAATTTGCAAGATCTAGATGTTAGTGTTTAAAAATATCTTTCTGCTCTGTTCTGACAGATGTATTAACATCAAAGGAATATGCCTGTATTTAATCAATTAAAGAAGCCTATTTCTGCTCCTCCCATATGAAATTGGCTGTCCATTTAAAATATAGCTATAAACAAGTGGCTTTGGTTTGAGGAGTTAAGCTGCTTTTTTTAAACCATAATGTCTTAGACCAAAGTGATTTAATTAAAGCTGTTTCAGACTGTCCTGGGTATCTTGAAGAACCTTTCTTCTTGACATTTTTTTCAAGCAAACCAAAAATCCAGTGTGTTTTTTTCCATTAAGCTTTTAACTTCATTTTGCTTTACTTGCTCAAAGACATGGGACTTGAAATTTTCATCGCTGTGTAAAGAATAAAGAGATCCTCTAATCATGCATCACTGTGAAAAATCAACTAGCATGGATCTCTGAAACCGAGTAGAACACTACTTTATAGCAGCATGTATGCTATATGCAACCTCTCATGATTTTTATGCTGGAACTGTCGTTATTAGTGGTAGATTTGTTAGGAAGGGGTGCTAGGTGGTGGTTACCTAGGGATGTAAAAGGTTAACTGGTTAACCGCTTATTGGGGTAACTGGTTGGAGGGGGGGCTATTCCGGAGCAGCCTACAGCGCAGGTCAGGCCTAGCTGGAGCAGCCTGCGGTGCAGCAGGCACGGTTAACTTTTTTACCAGGATTCTTCATCCCTACTGTTACCTATGTGGTTGTGCGCTGGGCTAATTTTTTTTCTGGTCTTGTTAATGAACCACAGTAGGAAACCATCTACTTTTCAACAATGGGATGGCAGCAGTGTGTTATGTCCTTAGAGAGGGAGAAGGAAACACTCCACTGTTGGTAGAACATTACTTCCTGAATGGTTTCAGATTTCTTTCTTGTTTTAATTACTTTGATCCACTTTTTTTTCTTCCCCCGAGTCCATCCCAGCCTTCCCTAGAATCTGATGTTATTGGTGCTATTTTAAAATGGGTACTACTGAAGCCATGCATGCTTACTGAGAGTAAACTCTTGTTTTACGCATTTTCCCCACAATATTATTAGGCTATGTCTAGACTGCGCCCATTTGGCACAAGAAATATGCAAATGAGGGGAAGCGTGGACTATCGCCATGCCTCATTTGCAAAATTAATGAGTCTGTTTTTGTGCAAGAGGCTTTTGCTCAAAAAGGAGCTGTGTAGACGGCTCCCTTTTGAATAAGAACCTCCTCTTGCGCAAGAGCTGTTATTTGCATTTTTTTTCCCCACAAAAACAGAGCCTCATTAATTATGTGCAGTCTAGACATAGCTTTAGTGTTTATATCAAATAATAAAAAGGATGCAGCAGATCATATTCTTGAGTTGCAGGTAGAAATGACATTTAAAGAGAGATGATTTTAGGTATTAAGTTGCAAAGTAAATATGACAATGGTGTATAGAAATATGAAGATGTTATGAAAAGTACCGGTAACAGTATGTTAGTTAAGTTATTATGAAAGCCATTATATCTCTAACATCATAATATACTTTCTATATCAGTAAGGTCAAGAATGATGACTAACATTTTCAAAAATAGAAGCCCCTTAAGTTAGGCCGTTAACTATGAAGTCAATAAGATTTGCACTCCTAAGTCATTGAGATGCTTTTGAAAAATGTTAGCCCTAGGCACCTATGTATTTTTTTGTAACATTGGCTTATGTTACTAAAATAGTTTCCAATCAGAATGCTGCCCAAATGATGACTGCAAGATTGGCCCAGGATGAACGGAAGTCCATAACATTTTTTTAGTATGTGCAATAGGTTTCGTATTAGTAAAAGATGTGGACAAATTGGAGAAAGTCCAGAGAAGAGCAACAAAAAGGATTAAAGGTCTAGGAAACATGTGAGGGAAGTTTGAAAAATTAAGTTTGTTTGGTCTGGAGAACAGAAGACTAAGAGGAGACATAACAATGTGCAAGTACATAAAAGGAGGGAGGGAGAAAAATTGTTCTCAACTTCTGAGGATAGGACACGAAGCAATGGACTTAAATAGCAGCAAGGGCAGCTTTGGTTGGACATAATGTCAGAGTAGTTAAGCAGTGGAATAAATTGTTTAGGGAGGTTGTGGAATTTCCGTCATTGGAGATGTGTAAGAGCAGGTTAGATAAACATCTGTCAGGAATGGTCTACATAAAATTTAGTCCTGCCTAGTTCAGGGGACTGGATAGACAATCCCTCGAAGACCCCGATTCTATAAAAATGCATCATATTAGCGGTTTACACCTGTATCGTTCCACTGGTGTGGCTACTCTGCTGTAAATTTCCCTAACGTAAATAGGACTGAAGAGATTGAAATCTGAGCAGAGGAAACGGGAAAAGACTTTTTTAGTCAGATTGTTTAAAACTTTTTTTATACCTCATAAACTCCATAAAAAAACATTTAGGAGGAAAAACTCTTTCAGTTAAAGAGTCATGCATTCTCCCCACCTCGGCAAAAAAGCAGTTATCTAGTTCTCACAGTAGCCAGCAAAACCCAGAAAGATGAGAATAAAAAAGGGGTATATGTCATAGAGCTGGACGGGACCTTGAAAGGTCATCAAGTCCAGCCCCCTGCCTTCACATCAGGAGCAAGTACCATCCCTGACAGATTTACCCCAGATCCCTAAATGGATTGAGCTTACAACCCTGGGTTTAGCAGGCCAAGGCTCAAACCACTGAGCTATCCCTCCCCCATGTTACAAACATAAAAACAAGAAGTTAAAACATTTTGTGGCCCTTCTCATACATTATACCCCCATGTTCTCTCCCCTTAGCAGGTTATTTTTAAGCCATCACCATAGTTCCTAATGTTTCCAGATACTTCCAGTGCCTTTCACTAATCAAATTTCACGATGGACCTAGACTTTGTACAGCCATAGTTCACGTTCATGAATGAGGTAGCTTTTAGGGATGTGAAGGGTTAATTGGTTATCTGATTGACCAATAAGCAACACTCTAAATGGGTAATGCTCACTGGTTCCAGTTAACTGGCATCCAGTGGGGGCTGCAGCAGCTCCCTCCCTGCTGCAGGCCAGGGGCTGGTCCACTGGCCCAAGGTACGAGCTAACCGGGCTACCGCCCGTGGCGCCCCATTGTAGTGGGCACCGCGCAGGGATGCCAGGCCGGGCGGGGGCGGCACTGCACATGCTCCGCGTGCCCAGGAGCGGGGCCGCGCATGTGCTGGGTGCCCGGGGGCGGGGCCACGCAGGCGTCACGCTCCCGGGGGCAGCGCCAGGGCCCGGGGCACGCGAATGGCTCGGGCCAGCCTTGGTCCAGCCCCGCAGGGTCCCGCCACAGACAGGGGCTGCTCTTGTATGACAGCCCCCGTTCACTGAGAGCCCAGGTGCCCTGCAGGCAGGGGCTGCTCCAGTGGGGTGGGGAGCCAGCAGCCAGTGACAGACTGAGCCCGAGTGCAGGGCTTGGGTGGGAGTCCCATGGATTGGGACTGCTCCAGCCAGGCTGGCGCAGTCCCCAGCCTGGATCCCACTTAGTTGGTTAATGTTAGGTCAACCTAACATTTAACTGGTTAACAGCCCTACTAGCTTTTGCACCAGTCATTGTGTAGACCAGTCAGTTGACCTTGGCTAGGTAATTGAGGCCATGCATATTCAATGGTCAAACATTTTAGGAACCTTAAATGGTGTGTCCCCAACTTGAGATGCTGAACATTTGAACTTCAGCAGTGATGGGCACCTGCCCCTCCAGTTGGAGTAATAAGGAGTCCCATGCCGGGCACCTAGAAAGGGAAGCAGCCCCAGTTAGTGGGTATGTCTGAAAAATATTGTCTCATGCCTCACTGGGGCTATCTAACCCTATATAAAATGCTTCAGAGGGGGAGCCGAGTTAGTCTGTACAGGATAAACTTAAAAAACAACAAATAGTCTGGTTGCACTTTATAGACTAACTATGCTGTGCCCATGAAAGCTCATGATACCATCTACATGTTTTAGTTAGTCTATAAAGTGCTACCATACTATTCTATATAAAATGGATAGTCTTATACTTTAATAAACAGAGTTTCCATGAGTGTATTTGGGGCTTAATGAGTTATTGCTTGTATTATATTTTGAGACTCTCTAAAGTGCAAACGCAAAGATGCATTTATTTTTTTTTATTTTAAACCCCTCTTAAACTCTTCTTCTGTTTCTCTAGGTCAGATCTTGCCAACAAATCGTAACACGCCAAGTCCCATAGACCCTGAGACAATCCAAGTTCCTGTGGGCTATGAACCTGACCCGGCAGATCTTGCTCTCTCCAGCATTCCTGGCCAGGAGATGTTTGACCCTCGTAAACGCAAGTTCTCTGAGGAAGAGCTCAAGCCACAGCCAATGATTAAGAAAGCCCGTAAAGTCTTCATTCCAGAAGATCTGAAGGTAAATTGGAACTGGTGATCAGGCTGCTAGAGAACAAAATGTGAACGCTATTTTCCCCATGAATATTTGGAGCATGAGTCTCTTTTCATATGCTGATGTAAATCAGGAGTGACTCCCTTAAAGCCAGTGGAAATGTGCACATGAAAAAATTGATGTGAGATTGTGATCAGAGCAGGCCTGAGGGGAAGGATGCCTTTATGGTGAAGGTAACAGGCTGAAATGTAGCAGATCAAGATACCTTTCCCCAGATCTGCCAGAAACTTCCTAGTCACTTAAGCTAGTCACTAATCACTAGTCACTTAAGCTCTCTCAGCCTCACTACCCCAGGTCAGGTCTACACTACAGGAGAAAGTCGACCTAAGATATACAATTCCAGCTATGTGAATAGCATAGTAGCTGGAGTGAACTTACCTTAAGTTGAATTTCCATGGCATCCTCACTGTGGGAGGTCGATGGGAAAAACTCTCCTATCGGCTTCCTTATTCCTCATGACCCCATGGAGTACCAGGGTCAACAGGAACAGCATCAATGGTCGAATTTAGTGAGTCCTTATTAGACCTGCTAAATCAAACCCCAGAAGATTGATCTCCAGAGTATTCTTCTCAGGATGAGTGTAGAGCTGGCCTAAGTCTGTACAGTGATTAGTCCAGTGAGGTCCCTCATCTTATTTGGGATCTTTGTTATTCTTTATCCTCACTAGGGCAGAGACAGTAGGCTCTACAATATGCCGCACTAATGCCTTAAGTAGGGTATGAAAGTGGATGAAATTCACCCAGAATGAATGGATATTGAACAGTTGTGTCCAATGAACAATGAGCGAAGCTCTCTCTGCTGTGCTCCAATCTTGAGGCTACCTTAATTCTCTTTATGACTAAGGACCAACAATGGGCTGAAACATCACTTTCCCTAAGTGGACGTGGAAGGGGCTAAATTAAGTCTAGTAAATCACAGTGGCTGTGTCTAGACTGGTAAGTTTTTCCGCAAAAGCAGGTGCTTTTGCGGAAAAACTTGCCAGCTGTCTACACTGGCCGCTTGAATTTCCGCAAGAACACTGACAATCTCATGTAAGATCGTCAGTGTTCTTGCGGAAATACTATGCTGCTCCCGTTCAGGCAAAAGTTCTTTTGCACAAAAGCTTTTGCTCAAGAGGGCCAGTGTAGATAACACAGTATTGTTTTGCACAAAAAAGCCCTGATGGCGAAAATGGCGATTGGGGCTTTCTTGTGCAAAAGCGCGTCTAGATTGGCACGGACGCTTTTCCACAAAAAGTGCTTTTACGGAAAAGCGTCCGTGCCAATCTAGACGCGCTTTTTCCGCGTTAAAAGCATTTCCGGAAAATCATGCCAGTCTAGACGTAGCCTTTGATAGCATTACACACAAAATTGCATAGACTCCCCCAAATTCATGATTACTAAATGTTGAGTTTGATTTAGTGACTCCGAATCAAAAAGTTCAGGGTCATAATTTGACCTCCTTGAAGTTGTCTGTAATGTAGCTAAGGACAAACACACGCCCACACACAAATACATATACGTATTTAAATGTATAGTTTAAAATATATAATACACTTCAGGGGTGTGGATTTTTTTTAAAAGAATTGGCTGTTTAGGTAGGACCTACACTGTCACAGTGTTTGTACTTATTGTGCTGACTGCAGCAGTGTTTAAGAATCCTGTTCTCCAAGCATGCTTGCATCAGCACTCACGACAATTTCATCTCCTTTTTCTGGAGGTTGCCGAAAGTCACAGGCAAAGAGAACGTTTCAGGCTTCTAAGACTATAGGAGAGCAAATTAAAAAAACTAACTTTAAATAGGACTTGACAGTAGCCCTCGGTCAGGGTTTCAAAAGTGAATTTGAAATGTTTTCTATTGCTACGTAAAAACACATAAACAAACAAACATGGTCTGCTCTGCACCCACCATTTGGCTTTCAGCTCTAAGCCACAAATACATTACCAAATTGTAGGGACCCCAACTGAATGATTCAAGGACATGCTTTACTGAAGACTTGGGCCACTTTATTTTTACATGGAAAACACTGTTGGCATTATGCAGCTTCCGTGAGGACGTAGCATAGTGCATGGCCTTGAACTGCTGTGGTTTCCCACCAGACAGATCTTTAGCCAACTGACGTGAATGGGAAACTTTCCAAGGACTGCAGTGGGCTTTGATCAGGCCCCACGTAGACAGAGAATGGGTACGTGTTTACAGTAGACTGATGGCATTAGAGAAAAGGTCTGTTACCATTTGCTATTTTTGTCCCTCAGGAAAGCGCTGTCAGGAGCAGGTGTCATCATAGTTAAAATGTCAAAAAAAATTCACATGTCAAGTTGTAACCAAACAATTTGTTACCGTCTTTGTCCAGAGTATCCCCAGCCTTGCTTTGTACCTATTTCCTGATACCATGTGATTACTGTGACAAATTCTGCTTGTAGCGACACCTTTACAACTCCATCGAGATCACGCCTGTTTGGGCTGTGAAGGGTCTGTCTATGTAAAGGCACTTAAGTCAGAAAGGTTACCAGGTGTAAGGAAAGTGGGAATTTGACCCCTAGTGTCAATTATCATTGAGAATCATTCTACACCAGGTTATATTTACGATTTATGCAGAAAGAAAAGAAAATTGCAATCAGAGGCGCCCTTGGAGTATTTCATGTCAGCAACTGAAAATGTAGGGTCCTCCGTGCAAGGAGGTTTTTGTGTTTTCGGCATGTGATGACTGGAGAAGCCAGGTGCTGGTTCCTAAAACAATCATATTTGGTTGTCCTTGGCTGTTAACAGGGTAACTGTTTCTGTCCTGGCATGAGAACTGGCTTTTGAGCTCTGGGGAGAGGTAAACAGATTAGGCCAGTCAGTTGTCTCTGGACTACACGTGATTCTGAAATTCCAGCCTACCCCTGCTCAGGCTGGATTAAGGGATTTGCCATTGCAGATTGTTAAAATAAAGATGGGTGAGGCTGAGATGGCACAATAATGAATTGCTTAAAGCTGATTTTTGTGGAGAGGAATGAGAGGAAATTGTAACCCAAGATTTAGGGTCATGGGTTTTTTTTGCTTTCTTTTTTTAAAAAGGGAGATGGGGGGGGGGGGGGGGGGGGGGGGGGATTAATGACATTTTTAAAAATACAAAAATCGGCACTGGACTAGGAATGTAACATCCTGTTTAATTAGTTAGTGATCGCTAGTGGTGGTGGTGTAGTGTGAACTAGGCTTTAAGTAAATAAGCAGGCCTAAAAGTATGCCTGTTTGTGAGACTCTTGCACATAGATTTAGTATTTGCCTCAGGAATTACTGATATTGTCACCAGTCAGTGGGATGTTCGAGTGAAAACAGCAGTGGCCAGTGAAATATCAATGGTAAAGTCACTTTGGAGCCTAGAGATTGCAGTGTGGTTAACAGTGGAAACTCGTGCCTCGAGGAGTTGTTAGTTTACCGAAATCTAATATCTTCTCTCTTTTTCTTATGTACTTAATGAGCAGGATGACAAATACTGGGCAAGACGTAGAAAGAACAATATGGCTGCCAAGCGATCGAGAGATGCCCGGAGGCTGAAGGAAAACCAGATTGCCATCCGCGCCTCTTTCCTGGAGAAAGAGAACTCAGCCCTTCGCCAAGAGGTGGCTGACTTACGGAAAGAGCTGGGCAAATGCAAGAACGTGCTGGCGAAGTATGAAGCTCGGCATGGGCCCATGTAAATGGCGGTTCCCCTCTCCTTTCTTTTTTGTTGTGGGTTGGCATTTTAATAGATGGACAATGTGTTTCCTGTTTGATAGCACCACACCCAAACCAACCTGTCTGTCATCAGCACTTTACAAGAAGTAGAAACAAAATGGACTTACATTATTTTTCATTTGTGTATGCGTGTGTGTGCACATCTCAGCACTTCCCGTTTTTATGAAACCCTCTTCAAAGGGTGACACATTTTTACCTGGACTATTGAGAACTGCCATAGTAAGGTTTTTTTGTTGTTGTTGTTTTTTTCCGGTGCTGCTTCTGATTAGGATTGTTATGTTGTTCCAAACAGTTCCAGCCTCACAACTTACTTACAAAGATCCCAGAAAAACAAAAATAATAAAAGATAAATCTCAGTTTTCAAAAGTAACAAGTTATTGTTAAATTGTGTCTAATCAGAAAAAGTAATGTGCTAATGAAGTGCACAAACAATAATTCAGTGCAACACTACAGAAATATTAATTTATAAATTGCTTTTGTTGTATTTTAAGTTCTGGTGATAGCTGTCTTCAGATTTAAAGTGCTATTAGACTGAGTTAGCTCTGCTCATTATAGAGCCCATTATGACTTATCTATATCTACTAAGTTTCCTTTTATTTCCACAAACACCAGATAGGAGAACTACTAACAGTATACAGAGTGTGTATTTTGCACTGTCTGTACCTAAAGCAATAATCCTATTGTGCACTAGCGCATGCTGCCTGGATGTTCCTAGTGGACGTAGGATGAGTCCCCTACCTAGTAAGAGTTTTAATGTCTTATAAATAAAAGACCCATTGATATGAGCATGCTGAAAGCATCCCTGGTGTGTGTAAAAAAAGAGAGAGGACAATTAGTTGATACAAGAACAAAATTTAAAAGGCTCAAATCAGATTTGATGTTGAAATTAAAGGAGGTTTTGGTTTAGTTTTCATTTCTGCATTGTTCAGAGTCCCATTTTGTGATTAACTATTCATTTTTCCACTTTTTGTAATATATTTTCTGAGGATTATATCTTGCTGTTTTAAATGCATTTTTATTTAGTTAGAAGAGTCACTGTTTTGCAAACCCCACTTTTCCAAGCGACATTATTTTGAGCATGTCTTGAACTGATGGTTCTGAACTTTATTCTGTTTTCTCTATCTGCTCTTGAACATATGCTCTGTTACAAAGTGGACTTCTGAAAATGAATGTAAAAGACACTGGTGAATTTCAGAAGGCAATGGTGTTGTCATATACTGTGGTTAATCCAATCAATGTAAATGTTTACTATAGACCAAAAGAATAGATATTATAAAATGTATAAAGTTTATACAGAATAATTATAGTATGGGGTGTTTTGTACAGTATTTTTCAAATACCAATACTGACAGTGTATTTTGAAAGACATATTATATATAGCAAAGAAAAGGAAAGAGCTATTCCATGTTTAAAATATATAGGAAAGATATATATTCACTAATATTGTACAGAGAGGAAGTGCTTTGGGGTTTTAGAGGTCGTTAATATTTTAAATGTACCACTGACACATCAGCATGTTTTGTGCTTTAAATTAAATTTTTTGAAAGTAATATGGCTTGACAGAGTGCTTCGTATTACTGAAATATTAAGAGGCTTTATAGTTTTCCATTAGAAACATATAAAGAATCTGTCTGACACAGAAAAGCACAACATGGAGTTTAGTCAAATATATATTGGACAATGCAATATTTTGTAGAGGCAGAAAAATAAAGTACACAACAAAAAAATCTCATGCTTACTTCAATTCTGCTGCTGCTGCTAAAATTTGTTTCCATCTGAAATTCTTAATAGTCTTGTTCATTTATGCAGTTCATGTATTGCATACATTTATTTACATGTGAGGAAAATATGGTGCTACATGTTTGGCTCACAGTTTTCTAGGGTTTTTTCACTTTTTTTTTTTTTTTTCAAATAAAAAAGGGTATTCATTCCAGTAAACCATTGCTTACGGAGGTTGTTACAAAGGACTAAGCATTTTGTTCTACATTAAACATATCCATTCTTTAATGGGATTTTTCCATTTTTCTTCCTCAAAAGTCACAGGATCTATTAATACTTGGTAGTATCCTGTGGACCACTAATTCTGTGGATTGCATGTCCAGGAGTTTCAGGAATGGTCAGAGTAGAAAGTCAATTATTGTCCAGTATGAACCAGATGGGATGTTTGGAATATTTGCCCTGACCGTGTTGTATACAAGTCAATATATCTACTGACCAGAAAACAAACTGAGAGTTTCAGGTTTTTTTAAAAGAAGTTATTTAGTGTGGGCAGGGTTCTACAAGATGCTGTTAATATGGACACACTGTAGCAAAGTGGCAATTTGCAACAGTACACTGCAGCTGAAGTTTGAAATAGCAGAAGTTGTGGTTGTGAAATCAGATGAGACATAAATAACAAAGTATTGGTAGTTTCCACGGTTGACACGATCATTCATCCACACAAAAAGGCAGCTGAGTAAATTTATAAATGAGCACTTCTGTCTTTTTTTAGGAGTGTGTGTATTGTGTAGCCACCCTACAAAAACAAGTGTGTCTCAGACTTTTTTGGGGCGGGGGAGGGAGAACAGGGGAACAAGGTAGGCTTTCCACTGTGTGCCAGTAGAGGTTTCTAGCAGCTACCTCATCTACCATCTCAAACACTTCTGAGTCTGTTCAGGTGCCTTACATATCTACAGGTTGAGCATACTCTTGTCAAGGCATGAAGGTTTGACAATGCATTTTGCACAACAAAACCAAACCATGTTTTCTGACTTGGAGAGACTCAGAATAATCCAGAAGGGCTGTGGAAGTCCAAGAGCTAATGATATTAAAGCAACACCCAGAAGTACTGCTAACACTAGAGTCATGTCAATCTTTACATTTAAAGCCACCATTGGCATTGTCATTTTGACTAGGATTGTCTGAAGCACCTAAAGGAGACAGGGGCTCCTCTTTTACAGCGGGATTTGGGTATCTAATGCATTTTTTTAAAACTGTGATAAACCTTCAAATATAAATTCTCAGCCTAGGATACATTCCCAGAAGACTTAACAATTTTTAAAACGTTTTTTAACCTTGGTTTTCAACTGATAAGAGCACTGTGTCGCGCATACTCAAGATTCTGTTGGGCCTTATTAACTCTAAAATAGTTCTTAAAGGTCTATCAAATTATATGGCATTTCAAAAGGATCAAACCATATCTTTACATGATAATCCACTAAAATCTAATAAGTAGACAATAAGCATTGGCTATAAGTTTGCTTGATGCTAGCCCTTCAGTCAATTATTGCAACTTTGAAAATGATTTATTTTTTAAACAGTGGTATTGTTTTAGTTTCAACTCTATTCATATAGTTTCTATTACCTTAGGAATTAAAGGGGGAGGAGTTGTCTTCTGATGCTGTTGGCACTAAAATAAACAGGATAATGGAATGAAATTGCTGACTTCAATCCACAAAAGCAAGGAATTCAGAACTAAGGAAAACATTCTGGGCTGACACTTTCACTTAACTCATTCTGCTGTGCCTATCTATTGAAGCATTACTATGCTATGTAACAACACAGACACTGGATTGAGGCCCCTGCAAAATGGGATGAACTTCTTGCCTTTGTGGGTTTATCGGCCACTGATGTCACTTTAAAAATGATTGTGTGTGATTTATTAGTGAGTGAGGGGTGTGGGTCATTTTTGTTTTTTAAAACTTGGAAAAAATATTTAAACATTACAAGTGATCAACCATTGTATTTTGGGCAACACCACAAGATAGCATCTGTTTAAATACAAGTTTAACATATAAGATCAAATTAAATGTATGTCAGGAAATGGATTGCATCCTGTATGCTGCTCAGCCCAATTCTTTTTGTCTGTTATTCTTAATGTTTAATAAAACTTTTAAATTTTTCTTCTCTCAGCTGTATATTTGCTTTAATCTGTCCGATACTGGGATGGTCTCTTCTTCAGCCCATACACTTGAAGGTCTATTATTAGCTATCATTGGTCCTGAAGAAACAACCCATAACATGGCACATCTCCAAGGGCCTTCTTTTCAGTCAGTCTTAGGTCCATATACCAATTAAATTGCATGTAAAAATATCCCCTTTGCAAAACACTTGCCAAGCAGTTGTATAGTGCCAGACGACCTTCGAACATGAAGTTACTTTCCAAAAGACCCAATTTTTACAAGGGACTAAAAGTTACTAAATAAAGCCATCAGTTCCTGGATGTGCTGATATAATTGATACACCTCCTAAGCTTTTTGTGTTCCTCAGTAGGGCTCTTCTGGCTTCTGGCTGCCCTCAGGAAAAACAAGCAAGCAGGGCAGACTGCGGGCTATTTAAGAATCCCTAGGCTTTCCACAGTTACAGTACAGGTTGAAACGCTCTAGTCTAGCACCGTTGGGATCTGACCAATGCCGAAACAGAGGATTTGTTGACCCACGGGAGATCAATATTGTCTAGCAGCATTACCAACAGGTCCACTGCTTACTGGTCTCTTAGGCTATGTCTACACAGCAGCATTATTTCAGAATAACAAAGTCCATGTCTACACTACAGTTATTTTGACATAATGTTGAAATAACGTCGAGCTGGAGGACTTCTTACTCTGACTCCTGTGACCCTCATTGGAGGAGGAGTATGGGAAGTCGGGGGAAGAGTGCTCGTTCTCAGACTCCCTGCTGCGTAGACAGCGCCAAAAGAAGCTATTTCTACTTAAGCTACACAATTGACATAGCTCAAGTTGTATCGTGTTGTATCGCTTATCTCGGCGGTAGCCTTGCAGCATAGACATACCCTTAGAAGACGTTTAGAGGTAAATTAGAGCTAAATAACAGTACTGAACACTAAGAGCTAGGACTGGTGGCTGTAAACAAACTTCTCCCTCAGCTATTGTAGGGAGCGATTGTAGCTGAGGGAGACGTGCCTCTCCCCTAGCCAGGCAGCTCCATGCATAGCAGTCCTGAGTCCCTGGGCGGGGCTCGTTAAGCAGCTGTAGAGCCATTCTGCCACCCAGCTTAGAGGGAACAGTGGTGACTGGAAGACTTTTCTTCATAGTTTTTGATGCCACCTTTGCCTGGTGGTGACATGAGAACATTCGCGCACAACACACTACATGTACATTTCCCTGAACGTTTCCTACAGTGGCTGGGTAAATTTTCAACCAAACATGCCAATTTGTGGCAACCACTTTTTTTTTTTTTTTAAATGGAATCCCATCATTTTACCAAGCCTTTCCTTTGGGCAGGTTTTTGAGGTCTCGGATGGAATCTCGGGGGATGGAGGGTGAGCAAGCGGCCTAGCTAATACCTTGGTGATTAGACAATTCACTTGTGACCTGGTTGACTCAGAGCAAAAAATTGATCCTGGTCTCCTGCATTCCAAGTGAATGATCTAATCACGAAGCTTCGGGCCACAATGTTTCTCTCTCTCTCTCTGGGTTTGCCAGCAAAGGCCTCAGTTTCAGCCCCATGCAGAACAAGTTGTGAAATCATAATTTCTAGTGAATTCATTTCCATACACTTGTACCTCTTTAACTGGGATTCCCTGGACCACGGATGTGCCTGGAACACAGAGCCCAGGAAGAAGGAAGTCTGGTGGCAGGGCAGGAGCGCTGTAAGGGGCACCGGCAACTCAGCCGGGAGCCCAGAGTGTGTGTGGGAGGGGGCAAAAGAGGATGGATGGCATGGCGAGGTGCTCTGGCCTCTGCGAAGTTCCTTGGCCCCAGTGGCTGGAAAGCTCAAACCTGGCCAAGGAGCTCTAACCCCAGGGTCAGCCAGGGAACTCTGGCTTCATCCTTGGCTGCGGCGCTCCGGCTGCATTCTGGCTCCAGCGGCTGGGAAACTCCAGCCCCAGAGGCATCCAGGAAGCTCTGTCCCGGGCCAGGGAGCTCCAACCCTAGCTCTCTGCCTGGCCACAGAGCCCAGTGGCTACAGAGTTCTGCCCCAGCTGCAGAGCCAGGCGAGTGCGCAGCTCTGGCTGTGGCACTCTGGCCCCAGCAGTAGTAGGGCTGGGGAGAGCCCCAAGGGCAGGCTGGTGCCCTAGCCCAGTGGTAGCATGGCCATGAGGGGAGGGACCTTCCCTGTTCCGGAAAATCCCCTTGCTCAGGCCCAGCCAGGTCTTACGGGTGCCGAACCAGCGAGGGCCAACCTGTGCCTTAGACCATGCATTACACTGCTGGCTTGCATGTGTTCTGAAATTCACGTAGGACAGCTGGAAAGAATTTGGTTCCCTCTGCCCCCATGTTATAGCTAAATTAGAGTTGGAGAGGACACCGCCATGGAATCGTATTGGGACTGATAATATTACGAAATCAGTGCCCACTTCGGGGCAGGCACTGGCAGGTCCTGTGTACAGTGCCTAGCACCATGCATCTCAGCCCTGAATGACTCCTCTGGGTCCTACCATGCTGTAAGTAACAGTATAGGTTGAAAAGCTTCAGGGGGTAGCCGAGTTAGTCTGTACAGGGTAAACTTTAAAAACAACAAATGGTCTGGTAACACTTTAAAGACAAACAAAACATGGTGATTATGAGCGTCAGCTGAAAAAGTGGGCAGTGCCCATGAAAGCTCATGAT